AACAATAAATATCAAAAAAGAGAAGTTTTTTCAATTCGATATATTTTTCTTTTTTTTATTAACAATAAGAACGAATGAAGAGAAAAGCTTGTATGCGTCTTTATAATAAAATGATCCCATAGAAAAAGATATCAAACAAACATATTTAATTAATATTCATAAATGAATGAAAAAGGCATGCGTTGTCTTTTTTACTAAGATTTCATTTATTTTCTAATGAATTGAAAACATTGAAGAAAAAAATAAAAATTTTCTACAAATTAAATTTAATTTTTTAATTTTTTAAATTTTTATTAANAGTCGTCGAGAAAGTACTGCTGATGAATCCCATCTATTAAGCAAACGAGGTAGTACTGCTCTTGAACAAAAGCCTCCTAGCCGAAAAGAAAGTAATGCTTCTGAACACGAAGCACCCAGCAAACGAGGAAGTACTGTCTATGACCAACATGCTTCCAGTCGTCGAGAAAGTACTGCTGATGAATCCCATCTATCAAGCAAACGAGGTAGTACTGCTCTTGAACAAAAGCCTCCTAGCCGAAAAGAAAGTAATGCTTCTGAACACGAAGCACCCAGCAAACGAGGAAGTACTGCCTATGACCAGCATGCTTCTAGTCGTCGAGAAAGTACTGCTGATGACTCCCATCTATCAAGCAAACGAGGTAGTACTGCTCTTGAACAAAAGCCTCCTAGCCGAAAAGAAAGTAATGCTTCTGAACACGAATTACCTAACAAACGACAAAGTTTTACTACAGAACAACAAATATTAAGTCGACGAGAAAGTAGTACTGATGGACATAAAGTAGCTAGTCGAAAGGGTAGTACAACTTTTCAACAGCAACCATCAAGTAAAAGAGAAAGTTCTTCTCCAGAACAGCACATATTTAGTCAACGAGGAAGTCACCAAGAAGTATCACCAAGTCGTCGAACAAGTACAAATCGAGATAATCAATCATCGAGGTTTCTATTAGAAAAAGACAAAACAAGTTGATCCTTTTCTAACAAAAATTATTTTCTTTTCTAGTCCACGCCGTTCAGGTGTTGTTAATAATATATCTTCATCACAAAAATCAAGTCGTCGTAGTAGTTTAACCAAACAAGAACATCAACCAACTCCTGTTCATGTTAATGAAGATCGTCATCTTTCACCGTTAAATATCATTGATGCAAATCAGCAACAAATAAAACATGAATCAAATTCATTACATAGAGATGTTCCATCATCAGACACAGATGTTCCGGTTCGAACATCAGCTAAACATAAACAAAAACGTACACCATCTATTGAGAAACGGCAAAAGTCTTCATCAACAGTTGATGAAAATGATAAACATCAATCATCATTCCAGCGACGTTCTGGTCAACAATCACAACGAAGTTCAAATTTAGCTTCTGATGAAACTGTTGTAACGCCTATTATTATGGATTCATCAAACGTTCGACAACACAGTGAAAATGTAGATTGTTTATTAATTAAAAATCTTTGTTTTTATTTCTAAAAAATACATTCTTTTTCTCTTATTTATTTTAGCGTACATCACGAATGGATTCTGATAATGAATATATGTCAAAGCCAAAATTACCTCCGGTTAATTCTTCATTTAAAAAAAAAACACATCATTCAGAAACATTAAACAAACAAAAAATATCCAGATCAAATCGATTAGAAATGCAACCATTATCATCATCACGCGCTTCCACACAAAGTGACGAGGCGCGACCACCACATTGGACAAAAAATGTACCTATTCCATCAATTCATTTAATTGATGATGATGTTGGATCACCACGTGAAGAACAACCAAGACCACAATCACCAAATGCTGAACAAATAGCTGAACGTAATCAACCACCAACACCACCAATAACAATAACATCAGTAAAGAAACGAAGTGTTGCAGGTAAATAATATATATTAATATATTTTTTTAATCATTTTATTTCTTTTTCTTCTTCTAAAAAGATGGACACAAACAAAAAGAACAACAATTTATAGCACGTCGAAGTGCCAGTGTTGATTCAATGAATCATATTCCCATGGTAGATGATAATTCACTTGATTCAGCATCAGAAAATAATTCAGATTTTGAGTCAAAGAGACGACGACATATGAAACCAAAAAAGAAAGATGTTCAAACAAATACTGACGAAACATATGATATTCAACAACAAAACCAACAGCGTAGCTTTTTCGATGACAGAGGTAAATTGTCTTTATATTAAGGCCACGCCCCCCCCCCCCCCCACAAATCGCAAAAAACCCTGGGACGGTCCAATGGGGGGAAGTTTTGGGCGTGTGTTGGGGGTGGGGTAAAAGGGGGGGGGTAGAATTTT